CTACAGCACAGCTGAAGATTTGGTGACGTTGTCCGGTGATCTGCAGAGGAACCGAATACTCTGAGAAACTAATCCAACATCACAGCTGAATCCTTCATCGCCTTAAGGTAAGGTCACTTTCATCTAACCAATCAATGGATCTTTAATAATGAACATTGATAATCCTGCAGAGGTTTATAAGGTGTATTCAATATAGTTTTAGCAATTTTAAGAAATTGCCAAAAATGGTGCACTGAATGGAACACCTTTCAGCCATGCTGGCCTATTTGTTTATTATTCTATTGGATGTTCAGTATTCAGAGGAGTCAGTATTCTGGTGAAAGAAAATGTATATTGTAACTCCATCCTTCTATCCTTATTGTGCATTGGGTTATAACATTTTAATGTTGGAGAAGTCAAGCGTCAGGGGGCAACGGGGGAAGGCGCCTGATGACAGGTCAATCGGAAGCGTTAGCTATCCTCCCCCATAGTCTTCTGGGACATGACAGATCCCAGAAGACTACAGGACCATTCACAAGGCACAGCACTACTTGCGCATGGGCACCCAGGTCTGAAGCCACAAGCTCACAGTGCTCACACTGGGGAGTGAGGACAGCTGGTGAAAAGGGGCTTCAGTGTGCCGCTGGAAGGTGGGACAGGCGAGTGGCTGGTTTTTTTAAAGTCAGCAGCTACAGTTTGACTTGAGCTCTGCTTTAAGCTTGGATAAAAGTGGGTTCTGTTCATAGAACCTAGAGTTTCTATTCTGTGCATGAAGTGGCTGGGAAAGATGAGAAGCTATAAATATAGCAGGACAAAGTTACAGGACAAAAAAAAAAAAAGGTAGTAGTAATCTCAGGATTCTGAGAAGGATCAGGAACGGAATGCATATCAGGAGTTTGTCTTCTACTTCAATGTTATATAATACCCAATAAAACCACCACTGTGTGCTGATCAGTTAAATAAGGTTTTTCAACCAGACAGACCTGTGCGGTAGAATTGGAGTGACATAAGGTGTAAAATATGAAAGTTTTTATCCTTCGATCTCCAATGCCCTCAAAGATTCATAGAGGAGAAAAAAAAAGGACTGGTACATATGGATGTAAAAAGTCAGACAATATAGTGTTTTTTGACCAGGCGTGCCATTGGTCTTGCTAAGGGCAAAAGGGACAGTGATTAGATTTAAGTGTAGCACCATCTCCTACATGGCTCCAGAAAATGTGTGAAATTACCATGTCTGATGGGCTGGTTGTAGAAGGCATCCTTGATGTGTGGGCGTTTGGTGTAGTCATCTACATTCTACTCACAGGGCAGTTTCCATGGCAGGACACCATTCCTGATGAGAAATATAAAAAAAAAAATGTTTTGACTGGCAATCTTTGATCATTGACTATACTAAAAAAAGTCAAACTACAGAAGTCCTTAAATACATGAGTGAAAACAGCAAAGAAGGATCCCCAGATCCAGCCACAAGACAAGCATGAGGATCAATAGAAAGCAGTTCTGTACAGTCTGATGAATCCTTATGTGAGGCTTCCACCTGAACACCTCACAGAGCAGGGTTTCCATCCTGTCTAATTTCAGTTCTGAGTCCCATATATTAAAAACAGACACATCCAGATATCAGTTTGAGCCGACTCCAGAGCCACAGCAGGACAACAGACAATCAAAGTTTGATGAATCCTCTTTACCTATTGATGCAGAGGTAGACATTGGATTAACAAAAATTAAATGATCCATCTGAGCAAAAAAATTGCAACTCTCAATGTAAAAATTTTCTTGATGTATAAGATTACAGATGTATTTTGTAGTCAACTTGAAAATTTTTTAGAGACCATGTCACCAACAGTAGTGTATAGTCATTACCCTTTGCACCATTTCCGCTACAGATTTTAAAAATACTAAAAAAAGGCATGGCATCATTGTCTAGTGCAAAAGCTCCCATGTTTTCCTCATTTTAGGAATTAAATCCCTCTGTCCCACTGATCAGTTATTTGTTATGTTAAGATCGAAAAAAAAAAAAAAAAAAAAAAAAAAACAGACACATTTCACTATGAAGAACATTGTGACAAAACCTTTCATCCAACCTCTAAAAATTGCAAGCATGGCGAGGGTGTTTTCTATGCTTGCATACTTTATGCTGTATGTCCTTCCCTTACATTTCATCTAAGTTAGGAGGTAAGCCAATGATAGAACTCTCGTTAGCTCCTATCACTATGGTGGAGCCAAGCCTTATACTTTGGAGTATTCAAGTGAAACTACAAATCAGAAATGTAATACAAAAAAAAGGCCTTCTAGCTAACAATGTTAAACAGTAAGACTCTTAGTTAAGGTTTTAGCATTTTGCTATTTGCTATAAAAATTAAAAAAAAAGTCAAAAATGTATTTTGTTTTATGCATTGCCAAGAGCAAAATTATTTTGTGCAGCAACTCTAGGAACTTGAGTTTGATTTTATTGCTCTGCTTCACTCAAAACCAGTGAAAGTTGAGTACTTTTTGGTTAGTGTGGGTCTTTATCACTTTGTATCTGTCTTAAACTCCTATATAGGTTAGTGTCTGCAACCTTACAATGGACCTTTTAAGATTATTTTTTCCTGTGAGATTCTTTTTTTCTTTCTTCAAAGTGGCAGCCCTTCAGAACTGTCCATGTGCAGTTTCATTTTCAGAAAAAAAAAAAAAAAAAAAAAAAAAAAAAAAAAAAAAAAAAAAAAAAAAAAAAAAACAATTTTTTCTGAAAGCCTGGAAAGCACTGCACCCGTGATCAGTGGAACATTGGCACAATGTCAGGCTCCTACAGACAAGCCCTGCAGCTTTGTGCGTGTACCTCCATGTGGGCTGTTTGAAAGCTGCAGGGCTTGAATGAACTAGGAGAGCTCTCATCAGTGCCCTTGCAGTTCATTTTGAACTACAAGCCACCAGCCATGGTGCTGTCCTGGACCTCACGTAAAAACACGATCTGAACCAAAGAACTAATGTGTCAACTAGCTGTGAAACCTGAGCTTTAATCTGCACATGTGCGAATCCAGCCTTAGAAGTCTTTACGCTGTAAAAAAGTGTTGGGGAGAAGTGCATGGATTCAGTCATGTGATTTGTGGGAATACGTGTGGGGAGAAGCCAGGTAACATCAGAGCCAAAGTCTTGGAAGTGCACTCGGGACGTTGTGTGCTCACTGGAACAAGCCAAATGTTTACAAGTGTGATACTACATGTAAATGTGCGTGCTATTCTAATAAAATGGAACCTTTTGAACACACACTATGGTGGCCTTATGTAGTGCAAGATAAATAGAATCATATTACGATAGTAAAGTGAAAACAGATATCCTTTGAGTGATTGCTACAAAGAGGATTGAGACCTGAGAGGACTCACCATCTAGGGGGGGGGGGGGGGGGAACATGCAATTTGACTTATTATATAAAATTTATGGGTCAACCCATGGAGGGGAGGGTCCATCTTTAATGTCACCAGTGTGGTGGTGGTGGTGCATTTCCATTCATAAAGGGTTACAGCACCAGGAAAAGTGGATTCACTTACTCAGCAGGAAAAAACTGCTAATTGAACGTGTTCAAGTGGAAGAGATTGTGTGACTTTTGTTCACCACAAAAATAATCCTTTATAGCCATTTGGTATTTTTTTTTTGCAGTAGCGCAACACTGAACCTTGTGTGAAAAAAAACACACTAATTGGTAGTTTGCAGCAGCTTCAATTTGCTTATTCACAAAAATTAGTGGCAGCACACAATATTCTAGGTTTGTCCAATCTGTTGGCGGCAGCCACCCTAAGCCTGCTTTACCAGTATGCCACCTCATATAGGAGAGCACTGCCCACCACAGACTAACATCTGCTGGACGATGCTGAAGATGTTTAAATAGGACCTCAGCCTCAAAAAAATGGAGGCGGCTCTGGCCCTTCCTTTAGAGAACCTAGGGCAGTGATGGCGAACCTTTTTGAGCCCGAGTGCCCAAACTGCAACCCAAAACCAACTTATTTCTTTCAAAGTGCCAACACTGCAATGAAACCTGAATATCGAGCTTTTGGTTTAGAAAAAAACTCGTACAGGAGATGACCAGAGACTGCGGACACAGCACAGGAGATGACCAGAGACTGCGGACACAGCACAGGAGATGACCAGAGACTGCGGACACAGCACAGGAGATGACCAGAGACTGCGGACACAGCACAGGGGATGACCAGAGACTGCGGACACAGCACAGGGGATGACCAGAGACTGCGGACACAGCACAGGGGATGACCAGAGACTGCGGACACAGCACAGGGGATGACCAGAGACTGCGGACACAGCACAGGGGATGACCAGAGACTGCGGACACAGCACAGGGGATGACCAGAGACTGCGGACACAGCACAGGGGATGACCAGAGACTGCGGACACAGCACAGGGGATGACCAGAGACTGCGGACACAGCACAGGAGATGACAAGAGACTGCGGACACAGCACAGGGGATGACCAGAGACTGCGGACACAGCACAGGAGATGACAAGAGACTGCGGACACAGCACAGGAGATGACAAGAGACTGCGGACACAGCACAGGAGATGACAAGAGACTGCGGACACAGCACAGGAGATGACAAGAGACTGCGGACACAGCACAGGAGATGACAAGAGACTGCGGACACAGCACAGGAGATGACAAGAGACTGCGGACACAGCACAGGAGATGACCAGAGACTGCGGACACAGCACAGGAGATGACCAGAGACTGCGGACACAGCACAGGAGATGACCAGAGACTGCGGACACAGCACAGGAGATGACCAGAGACTGCGGACACAGCACAGGAGATGACCAGAGACTGCGGACACAGCACAGGAGATGACCAGAGACTGCGGACACAGCACAGGAGATGACCAGAGACTGCGGACACAGCACAGGAGATGACCAGAGACTGCGGACACAGCACAGGAGATGACCAGAGACTGCGGACACAGCACAGGAGATGACCAGAGACTGCGGACACAGCACAGGAGATGACCAGAGACTGCGGACACAGCACAGGAGATGACCAGAGACTGCGGACACAGCACAGGAGATGACCAGAGACTGCGGACACAGCACAGGAGATGACCAAGACTGCGGACACAGCACAGGAGATGACCAGAGACTGCGGACACAGCACAGGAGATGACCAGAGACTGCGGACACAGCACAGGAGATGACCAGAGACTGCGGACACAGCACAGGAGATGACCAGAGACTGCGGACACAGCACAGGAGATGACCAGAGACTGCGGACACAGCACAGGAGATGACCAGAGACTGCGGACACAGCACAGGAGATGACCAGAGACTGCGGACACAGCACAGGAGATGACCAGAGACTGCGGACACAGCACAGGAGATGACCAGAGACTGCGGACACAGCACAGGAGATGACCAGAGACTGCGGACACAGCACAGGAGATGACCAGAGACTGCGGACACAGCACAGGAGATGACCAGAGACTGCGGACACAGCACAGGAGATGACCAGAGACTGCGGACACAGCACAGGAGATGACCAGAGACTGCGGACACAGCACAGGAGATGACCAGAGACTGCGGACACAGCACAGGAGATGACCAGAGACTGCGGACACAGCACAGGAGATGACCAGAGACTGCGGACACAGCACAGGAGATGACCAGAGACTGCGGACACAGCACAGGAGATGACCAGAGACTGCGGACACAGCACAGGAGATGACCAGAGACTGCGGACACAGCACAGGAGATGACCAGAGACTGCGGACACAGCACAGGAGATGACCAGAGACTGCGGACACAGCACAGGAGATGACCAGAGACTGCGGACACAGCACAGGAGATGACCAGAGACTGCGGACACAGCACAGGAGATGACCAGAGACTGCGGACACAGCACAGGAGATGACCAGAGACTGCGGACACAGCACAGGAGATGACCAGAGACTGCGGACACAGCACAGGAGATGACCAGAGACTGCGGACACAGCACAGGAGATGACCAGAGACTGCGGACACAGCACAGGAGATGACCAGAGACTGCGGACACAGCACAGGAGATGACCAGAGACTGCGGACACAGCACAGGAGATGACCAGAGACTGCGGACACAGCACAGGAGATGACCAGAGACTGCGGACACAGCACAGGAGATGACCAGAGACTGCGGACACAGCACAGGAGATGACCAGAGACTGCGGACACAGCACAGGAGATGACCAGAGACTGCGGACACAGCACAGGAGATGACCAGAGACTGCGGACACAGCACAGGAGATGACCAGAGACTGCGGACACAGCACAGGAGATGACCAGAGACTGCGGACACAGCACAGGAGATGACCAGAGACTGCGGACACAGCACAGGAGATGACCAGAGACTGCGGACACAGCACAGGAGATGACCAGAGACTGCGGACACAGCACAGGAGATGACCAGAGACTGCGGACACAGCACAGGAGATGACCAGAGACTGCGGACACAGCACAGGAGATGACCAGAGACTGCGGACACAGCACAGGAGATGACCAGAGACTGCGGACACAGCACAGGAGATGACCAGAGACTGCGGACACAGCACAGGAGATGACCAGAGACTGCGGACACAGCACAGGAGATGACCAGAGACTGCGGACACAGCACAGGAGATGACCAGAGACTGCGGACACAGCACAGGAGATGACCAGAGACTGCGGACACAGCACAGGAGATGACCAGAGACTGCGGACACAGCACAGGAGATGACCAGAGACTGCGGACACAGCACAGGGGATGACCAGAGACTGCGGACACAGCACAGGGGATGACCAGAGACTGCGGACACAGCACAGGGGATGACCAGAGACTGCGGACACAGCACAGGGGATGACCAGAGACTGCGGACACAGCACAGGGATGACCAGAGACTGCGGACACAGCACAGGGGATGACCAGAGACTGCGGACACAGCACAGGGGATGACCAGAGACTGCGGACACAGCACAGGGGATGACCAGAGACTGCGGACACAGCACAGGGGATGACCAGAGACTGCGGACACAGCACAGGGGATGACCAGAGACTGCGGACACAGCACAGGGGATGACCAGAGACTGCGGACACAGCACAGGGGATGACCAGAGACTGCGGACACAGCACAGGGGATGACCAGAGACTGCGGACACAGCACAGGGGATGACCAGAGACTGCGGACACAGCACAGGGGATGACCAGAGACTGCGGACACAGCACAGGGGATGACCAGAGACTGCGGACACAGCACAGGGGATGACCAGAGACTGCTGCGACACAGCACAGGGGATGACCAGAGACTGCGGACACAGCACAGGGGATGACCAGAGACTGCGGACACAGCACAGGGGATGACCAGAGACTGCGGACACAGCACAGGGGATGACCAGAGACTGCGGACACAGCACAGGGGATGACCAGAGACTGCGGACACAGCACAGGGGATGACCAGAGACTGCGGACACAGCACAGGGGATGACCAGAGACTGCGGACACAGCACAGGGGATGACCAGAGACTGCGGACACACAGCACAGGGGATGACCAGAGACTGCGGACACAGCACAGGGGATGACCAGAGACTGCGGACACAGCACAGGGGATGACCAGAGACTGCGGACACAGCACAGGGGATGACCAGAGACTGCGGACAGCACAGGGATGACTGCTGACCTTTGGGGAGGGAGGGGGAGCGGGTACCTGAATTTGACAGGTACCCGCTCTTACTTCTGCAGAGTTTTTTTTATCTTACCTGTTCCTTTATCCAGCCGCTCGTTGTCATCCCGGCTTCTGTAGTGTGGGCGGACAGCCGGATGCCCAGTGGGCATGCGCGAGAAGCGCTGCGCTTTGTGATTGGTCCGGCGGCTTCTGGGATCTGTACCCCCCCCTTTAAAAAACAAACCCAAAATGTCCTGCAGGACCTGAGGTTTAAACACCAATCTCCACTCAGATTTTTTTTTTTTTCTGAAAAATGAGCTGTAGGAGGATTGCAAATTAGTCAGGATGACATGCAACATCAAGCCAAAATTTGAAGGAAGGAGGAGAGTAAAAAAAGGGGAAGGAGATTCTCTAGACAAATATGGAAGTTTCCCTTTTACCAAATATCACCTATAGATACATTAGTGGTACACTACCTGATTAATTTTTACATTTAAATTTAGTGCCATTTACATCCATGCCCTGGGACAAGGCTGAGGGTGCGATGGGGAATACTCAACCTTAAGGGGAGCCTCCACTCAGATGAATCTACACCGTGTACACTTGCACAATAACTCACCCAGTTAACTCAGGTCCCCATACATATGTACACCTTCACTGTTGACTTGCAATTAGGGGGGGCATGCTGGAGCCTTGTCCACATCCACCTGTCCAGCATTTTCCCCTACCTCTCCAGTAGATTAACAGGGCTCTACAGTGCATTTAACTTAAACCTTGAGCTTCTGTACAGGATGGGAACCTCTGTGGTGCAGATCTATTCCTGTTGTGATGGAAGACAGACCACACGTGAAAAAAAAAAAAAAAAAAAAAAAAAAAAAGTGTGCCAACAGCATCTCCTTGCTGCTAGAGACCTTTCCACCCCAACAGGGTACATGCCAACAAAAACAAGGCTGTTACAGTGACTGTATACTTCTGTTACACTTGGTTACCCTTCAAGTGACTTCACACTATGACTCTTAGTGTAATGCCTTCATACCTAATGTGTCTAGTGACCCAAAAAACTAGAAACAATCAGGTATAAAAATTGTGCCAGTTACTTGCCCTGCCACTCCTTTAAATAGCTTCAGACCAGGCATGGAACAAAAGTTTAGCTCTTTAAACTGCAAAAAAGTACACATGCATGAGAACATTTTGTCCTCATGTCCCTAGGCCCAAACGCAGGTTGTGTACTGCCTTGGCATACCTGCAAAAAAAGGTGTAGTCCATCAATGATAAAAATGGTTATTGTCAATGGTTATTGGGCAGCAGTGTCAGCAGCTGGTGAACAAGAGATCCCAAATCTTTCCCAAATAACTGACCCTTTTTACCTCCAGGATTAGTTGGTTGGACCAAAAAACCCACCAAGAAGAAACCCAGAAATGAAAAAAGGTCAACTATGCCTTCAGTACGGGGCAGCACCTTACAAATTGCAACTTACAAGATTAACATTTTCAAAATCCAAGAAATACAAATACACAGGTTTCTACAGGTTTAAAATGAAGATATGGTAAAATACTGTGTTACACAGGTAGCAAGTGCATTGGACTTCATACAGAGCATAGAAATGGTTTATCAGGACATCCAAGATGGACAATATTCTGCTGATGGACTTTTAATGCAATGTCATTAAAAGTGGCAGATTTTGGACTCAAGGCTCCAGGGTCCACAAGTACCCTCTATGTTAAAGTTCATTCCATATACAGCTCCTAAACTATGCAGTCTAAAAAATAAGGAATAATTGCTGCTGCCCCCCCCCAAGCACTGATGTGTGAACCTTTGGTGTCCTGGTGTACACTGCTAGCACTGGGTGCCTGCCTTGGAAAGAATCAGATTTGTGTTCCAATGTATGGGGACTTTGGTTGGTGGCAAGTCAAAAAAGGATTACCTAGCACCAAGAAAGGTGAAGGAAGTTCTCTCAGGCAGGCAAAAAGGTTTTTGGACATGTTGGCCCTCTATGCCCCCCAAAGGTTGCTCTGCCATTGACATTGTAAAACATTCACTTGTCATGGAATGCAGAAATGCTTTCAGGAAACCTAACTAGGAGTACGGTAAATTTGTATGGCATAAAGAGCAAAATGATGTCCATTCAGGATCTTCATGAAGTGCTGCCTTGTGTCTTCTTACAGATCATAAAAACAACTTAACTTACTATTGGAACGGAGGTAGAAACATAACCCACTATGCTCACCTATTAAAAAACAGACAATTGAATATTCTCAGGGGAATGTTACAAGCATCATGTCCTAGTTGAAGGACAAAACATCTTAGTACACTGTTGATTTGACCAAAAATACAGGGACTTGCTTGGTGGCAAAATGGGGGGAAAAAAAAAAAAAAAAAAAAAAAATGATCTCACCTTTGCACCTGGAAAGTGGAGGAAATTCACTATTGAAGCCAATCAGGTTCTGGAGACATGTTGGACCTCAATGTCCATAAGAGGTGCTCTGTTATGGACATTGTAAAAATATGTTCGCCTGCTCTGAAAATCTGAAATGCCTCCAGAAAACTGACATGTAACAGCTTCATCATTAAATCCGAGCTGAGGTGGGGGGGAAAAAAAAAAAAAAAAAAAAAAAAAAAAAAAAAAAAAACTAACTACGGGGTTAGCAAAGAGCAAAGCCAACCCTTAAAAAAAATGTCAGAACTCTAAAATGAGACTTTTCTGACATTACATGAAATATTTAGTTATGGTGGCTAAATATTTGTCCAGGTTTGGCTGTTAGCTTGTCACAGAGTGGTCCGGCCTTTGTGTGCCTCCAGTAATTCAGTATCGTATTTGGAGTGCAAGCTTCAATAATCAAAAGCCATAAAAAGCAGAATGCTGTTAAAGTGTGAGCGGGATTAAGAACATAATTTCTTTGAAAACTGCTGCGTCTAACAGACCTCCCCCAGGAGTGAAAATGCATGCAAAATAAACCCCCCTGTGCTCCTTCATCCAAAGTGTACACATTCTACAGTAGTTAATGGTGAATTCCCCAGGTAAAAGAAGGTCCAAACAGTAAACAAGGGATGTAGTTGCCACAAAAGGATTGCTGAAATATAGATTAGTCTGTTATGTTGTAATAATGCTAATGGTCCTAAACACAGATCACAGCATTAGTATCTTGTTAAATGTTCCCTCAAATTTGTTGTACAATGGGACATACTTCAACAAACATGTCCGGTATACCTTGGGGAAGTAATGTCCAAAATAGATACTTGCTTACTGCAACCTCCCTCTTCACCTACCATTGCACCAACAGGCGCACGGCAAAGACTTTGGATACTAGTGGTGGGAGAAGAGCCACATAGACCAATTACCCATCATGTGTCCTTCACGTTTAGACATTGCAGACACGTCAGTGCATCCCTAGCTGATAGTCCTTCCAAGAGCAGCTTTAGCTCTGGGCACTGCTGTGACCCGATTGTGTAACTAGTCACCCAGCGGGGCCTGCAGGCTCCACCCACCCAGTGTCCACTTTGTACCACACTTTCTGGAGCCTGCACAAATTTCACTTTACAAAGCTTGGTAGGAGTTCCCTACCCACCAGTTAAACTACACAAAAAATATAGTGCTGCATAAAGTTGACTGCGCTATAGAAGTAGTATCTGTAATAAATATATTTGAGAAAGAGAAAATTCTAACCAGAACACCTTAACTGAAAAAAAAAATAATTTTACAGAAGTGGATATTTCTTTGGGGAATTTAACAGAACCAAACAATTTGGAGCAGTTGGGCATGGGAAGCGATCTACTTTAATCACTTTCCCAAAGCTTAACTGAACAAGCTGGAGAAAGGCGATTGGTTGTCAGCACAGCCGCTACATATAACTATTCCAGCTTTACCAAATCCCCCGTTGTTTCCTGCAATAAGCACCCCCTTCAGTATGACATAACTGAAGCCACATGTAGCCAGACTAGGGAACTCCACATGTAGTAGAAAAATTACTATCATGCTTGTGGGGATCAGAGTCATGCAATGCTTGATGGGACAACAACACACAAAACTGTTCTACTTGTGTTAGAGAACATGCTTGAAAATTTTGTGAAATGGATCCTGCAAGCTGTGGGGGAGGAGCAGTGTGTACTACTACCCTATTATGAGACTAAATGTTTTTGGGTGTGTAGGATGCCTAAAAAGTCCACAACTGATACACTGAATTTTATTAGAACAGACATGTGCTCTGAGGTGTATAGTATCTGATGGTACAAAGTATTAAACATGGCAGTAAACCATTCTGAAACCAAAACTAAAGTCAGTGTCTCATGTCATTTCACTCAATTTGGTGATCGGACATCATTTTGTCTATATTTCCAAGAATTCCCCATTTGTATCTTGATCTGAGCACACTTTCATATTGAAGGCATTGTTCGATTTCTATTCCAAAATACTAGAGAAGCTGAGAAGAATCTTCTATCCCTCGATTCCTATCCCTATATAAAAAGGTGGATTTCCCTTTGTAGATGGGACCTCACCCAACGAGAGCTTTGCATAGCCCATAGATCTCTATACACTCCCAGCCTGGCCCACAGAGCTCTACATAGACATACAGCCCAGCCCATAGAATTCTATAGACACTAACATTTTCTTTAGGATCTCCTTCCCAATAATCCAACTTTGGTATTAACGACTCTCTACACAACACTTGACTTTCTGGATCTTCTCATTGCTAGAACCTCAGAAGATAGGAGTCCTATTTCTGAAGGATTTCCATGAACTGAACTCGGTCTCTAATAACAAAATCTCCCTGTTGGCACTCCCTGGACCAAGCTCTGTCTCTGATCTAGATCTCTAGTTGTTTGCAATTCCTGGACTAATAAACAAGTTGTTTCTCTCTATACTGAGATAAGTCATTTCTGTTCCTCTAGCTCTAGTCTCCTCTATGAATCAAG